ATGTCATAAAGGCTTAGTCATGTCTCTTGACCAAGCAATGAGCTGGTGCCCTGACAGTGGGCAAGAACAGGATAGGAAGACTGACAACTTACTCCATGAACATCACAAAGTCTGCAAGCAAAGGACTCATGCAAAACATATGCATGGAGGCATGCATGATGCAAGACCTCCATCATGCCCAAGGAGATGGCCAATTGAGGTTGATCTGGGCTTGTGGCAAGGTATCCGCATTCAAGAACATGTGTAAGGAGACTGTTGCCATCATATTGGCAATGAAAGGTATGGCTTTGAACCCCTACAAGTGCTTGTAAGCATGGCAAGAGCAAGATGAGGCTCCTTGTGTGCATACCTTGCCATGTGAGCAGTTTGATATGTGCACCTCCTTCTTCACCTCCTTCCCCATGCTCTTGCTCAGGACCAAGTGAAGTATCCACACCACCACCATGCTCATGTCACCACTGCAAGTATGCATCGACAAGAGCAGGAACTTGGGCTTGCCAGCAGGCATGATTAGTGCCTAGCTGGCAGGCATGTGTGCCTGCTCCTGCTTGGTGCCTTGGTCTTGTCCAATGTTTCCGTCTTCTGCACAACTGCATGAGACTCATACTAGAAGATCATGCCTGTAGAGATGCACCTGCATGAAAACCACATGGATTCGACCACGTTCTGCTCTTGCTCTTCTTGCTTGTGATCCTCATCCTCAGCCATGGTCATGATAGCATCTTCATCTCCTTCACCAAAACTCACAAAGTGATTGCTTGATGTAGGGTGCATGCCATGAGAACCAAGCAGCTGAGAGAGAAATGTGTTGGCTTGTGCATCTGCAGGTGCTGCTGAGAATGGGCTAAGATCAAGATCAAGGTGGAGGCCAAAGGGAAACTGACCTGCATGCCATTGAGCATGCTCAAGTTCTTCTTGCTCCTGATGAGCAGCCATGGCCTTGAGCATGAGCATGTGGTGCCGAGGCTGAGCTAAAAGCCCAGTCTCCATGGGCAAATCTCCCACAGTAGAGGACATGTTGTTGGCTTGTCAATGGGCTACAAGGTTATCCTGAAGTACACTGAGGTTCACACAATCGAAATCACCTCTGCCTTCCAACACACCTTCCCTCAGTACCACCTGAAGAAAGAAAATGGTGAAGTTGGCAATGTATGATGATCTGTATTTATCTTATTGTCATTCAGCTCACTTGACATCTAGCAGATCTATGTGTTTCTGAAGAACAGTCATGCACATCTCAGCAACCCCTTGGTCAGGCTGGCAAACATTGGTGACTGTCCTTGTCTGCTGACCAGCCAGGCTCGTGAACTCATGGTGCAGACATCCCTTCCTTCAAGCAGAAGCTGCTTGACTTTGCTATTGGCATGAACAAACCTTCTTTCCAAGCCCGTCCCAAGTTCCTCAAGCAATACTGGGAGCACCAGCTCTTGCCTGAGCAATGGCAGGAGTATGTGGAGCAAGCATTGAAGGAGCAAGAGACCCCCAACATTCTCATTGAAGGGAAACAGATGTTGGGATGGTATGTTCATTCACACCATTTAGGCTCTGACTGACATGTCTCATGAGTCCCTCAGAGAAGATTTTTGCTTCAATAGCAGCTTTTCACAAAGCTGTAAGCACCCATACAGGCTGGGTCCTGTTCACTCTTGCTGGCAGAGTTGATAAATCAGGTGCCAGAGCTGTAACACAGTAAGCCTATACTGCTATTCTCATCTGGTTCCTTCTTACACATTGGCAGTGTGGACTCTGGTAAAACATCTGCCAATCTTGGCTTTTTGGAGTACAATGTGTGTCATCATGATGGCATGATGCAGGCATGGAAGGACTTTGTGAAAGCTACCAGTATGTGCTCACCTTCTGTACCCCATTTAGTCTCAACATTATAGTCCCCACCAAAACCCTGTCACAACAAGCTCCTATGCAAATACTACCAACTTTGCAGCGAGATACCTGCAACCACCGTATCCTTCCACCTTTGGACTCTGCATGGAATCGGCTAGAGATTGCAGTCATGCTGCAGACATATCTCATGAGCCTTCACAGTAGGGTTGCAACATCCCAACTGATATGTATACTAACCTTGAACAAGACCATGAAACATCAAACTCCCTGCTCAACTGGGCATCAGTTTCAGTCTAGCCTGGATGTCTCCCAATTGACTTCTCCCTCTCAGATCCAGAACACATGTCATTTGTGGACATGTTGAAGACTTATACCCTTGTTTGCAAACAACAAGAAGAGTTCCAGGAAGAGTTCATGTTCTTCACCCCTCCAGATCAAGTCGAGCCCTTCCACTTTGACATGACAAACCTTGAATTGTCTCCTGCCCCAGCAAGTGCAAATCAACCTCCCACAACTTCAGCTAGAAGACAGCCCATAATCCAGACAACACAAATGTCCATAGCCAGCAGACAGACCAGTATACATTCACCTCACTCAATTCAATCACTCTGCTCCTGAACAGCCACATCCAACGGGGAGGTCTGTGACACCCTGACAAGATGGAATCCTTTTGGTGATGAGCCATGCACATCCCCTCCACCTTCAGATGAAGATGTCTTCCAAATTGATTCACTGGTGCACAGGGAGAACATTGCTCAAGGGACAGTTCTCTGCATGTCATGTGAATTGATCTGATGAGTGATGCACAGGCAGTGCATCCAGAAGGTGGCATTTTGTGCTCCATCCTGGAATGATTTCTGACAAAGTCCCTCAGCACAGTGACATTGTCTGACCCTTGGCAAGAACCATCCTCCACACATTCTCCAGTGGGCCACAGACACTTATGACATGGTGGTGCCCAAGTACCTGATGTTCATGTGCGGCAATCAATGTGAGTGACTCTGTATGCATTGACATGCAATCTCAGCAAATGAATATCTCAGGCAAATGGCAGCAAGTCCATACAAGCAAAAGTATGTACCTTTTTGGATGTCAGTCGGAACATCACTGATCAGATGGGAAGGTCTCCTTGTCATCTCATGGTTCCTGTGCCTGCAAAACACAGGAGACCATGTGGGCATCAGACATTAACAACATAGTGTGTTCATTAGCTTGTTAATATATATATATATACAATCCTACTAGCCTCTGGTGCATGAATTGAATGCTGAGACTAGCCTGCACTTGGGATGACAGATTACAAATCTAATCAGGCAAATGATAGTATAAACTGGTGATACTCCATGTAAGCCTGGACATATGGAAGAATCTCACCATGCCTGCCTTTCCACCATGCCTGATGACATCTCCACACAGCAAACCCCTTGCTCTCAGCTTTCAGGGTCAGCTGATTCAAGCCCAGTGCTGGACTGACATCCCAAACTGACCAAGCAATATTGTTGGAGAGGAGCAGACCAATGAGCTTCAAATGTGTCTGAGACTGGAAGGTAAAAATTGATGTCCTTGATCAAGTTGTAATCCATTGAAAGCATCATGATGTCAACCAGACTGATTGAGTTCAACAGTTTTGGAGGGAGTGCGCTAGACAATGGGGCGTAGCTGGTCTCAAGAGCAGCAATGTTGAGTCTCCTTTGTAATTGGTTGGTTGTGTGATTATCTCGATATGATGGTGGGTTGGGATGAAGAAACTGGAAGCTTGGCAAAGGCCATTCTTGTGGAACTGGGTCTTTGGTCCCTTCCTGAGTGGAGCAGCCTAATGCTGAGCTCAGGTGCTGGCTCTGTCATGGATGGCAACAGGTTTGCTGTGACAACTTCTTTCTCTTCATTGGCACAACATCCAATACAAACATTGTAGTTGCCAAGGTGAATTCAGATGCTGGTTGGTGCATGAAAGGATGTTTCTTGCCATTGCTCACTGTGAAGACAAATTCAGAAAGGTTGTTGCTGTCCTCAGGTCAATGATTGATTAAACTGGGATGCCAAATATCAGAGATGTCTTGACCATCCAACCTCTCTATCTCTCTGACTATGGCATGCCAAGATACAGAAGGAGCCTCAAGTGGTACTGCCAATTCAACAGGTTGGTTGAAATCCAACCTGAAGATGGCATGGATATTGGCAACAGTGAAGATGATGCCATTGGTACAAAGCATGAGGGGCTGATCCACAGGCATCATTTCTGCTAAATGATGTAAGAATGCCACAGTGAACAGGATTCAATGAGGACAAAGCAGACATCAAATCCCAATTGTTCCATCCCACATCACGACATTGAATGCCTACTGAGACAGAGTTGACCACTTATATGGCTGTTCATGAGTCTCTGGAAGGGAATATGTTGGGTGACCCTGACAAGTACCTGTTTTTGATGCAGTAGTACTTTGGGCAGGTCTCTCCAGAGGCAGTGCCCACCAAGGTTGTTATCTGGAATCATAACATTAGATCTGCCAATGCTTGCAGAGGGCACCAGAATGGACCCAGCCATGAATTGAAATCTAGCCTGATCAGAACATTGCTCAACTTGAGAGGGATGTAGCTATCAGGGCATTCTGGCCAGTGCACTCTGGAAGGCAAGTTGGGATTGACGCAAATCAGGTGAGTGTGCATCCAATGATACTTGCCATAGCCAGGCAGAGGAACCTTTGATCCATCAGCTTGGATATGGTACCAAACACCTTGAATGTTCCAAAGATCCCATGGCTGGATGTCTTTGGGATCACTTGGATGGTCTGGAATGTGATTGCCATGGCCATTAGATGTTTTTTGAGGTGGTGGTGGTTTGGAAGAGTGTTTCAATGATGTTTCTGCAGTGACCAGTCAAGCAAGAATGTTTTGGGTTGCAATGGGGAGGTTGGCATGAGGCAGTAGAATGTGCATCCTGGTCATGTAGATGAAATGTACTAGATCCAAGAGGAGATGCTCTACAACAGTGAGCCTATGACATTCACAGCTCGTTGGACACTTACCAGCATCCTCCTTCTTGACACTTGTCATGATCACTTGAATAGCTGCATCCACATTATCCCTTGATTCTGATCTCCAATGATATGGTGGATATCTGTGAGGGGAGGAACCACCATCTGAACACACATGTGAGTTGCATTCAGATGTGGTAACTTGACTGGATCTTGACTCAGCCTGTTGGTCATTGTGGTCCATGCATCCTTGTCAACAAAGAGTTTGGCAGGGCAACATCATCCCATGAGATTTGGCTAGAATTTTGTCACTGCAAGGCAAACAGCTGGTATTGATAGTTTCTTGAGATGGTAGGTGCCATTCAGCAGTCAAATCTTCCCTCATTGGGCAGTACCACAGGCACACAGGCAATTGTGATGAATGACCACCAACGACCACTTCAGTACAGTATGTAGTTTCCCTTGACCCAAATCAGTTGAGATCTACAAAGGCACTACAGCAGAAGTGCAGCAAGCTAGGGATGTGAGAGAAGAACAAAGGTACAATGAAGCACTGTGCCAGAATGAATGTCAGTATGACTGTACTTCTTTTTCAGGGTATCATCAGCATGTGTATGCACTCTGCTGCCTGTGGTCCACATTGGAAGAGCTTGGGCTTAATCACAATACATCGATGAATATGTAGAATTACATTTGGTGAGAAAGTCCTGTAGCTGCACTACCTAGTGGATGAGCAGCTATGTGCACTCATTGCCTGGTCCAAACAGGTCACTCCTCCATGCTGCTGGTGTTGTCATTCAGACCATGCTTGTGATCATAGATACATTTGGCTGCAAGGTCATCCCTGCCCTCCTTGTCTGACTCAACTGTGTCTAATGCCAGCATCTTGAGGGAGAAGCTGTTGTTGATGGATTTGGCCTGGAACCTTGGCTTGATGTCAATGGCACCATGAAGCCCAGGTTGGGACAAAGGCAGCCTTTCCTGGAATTCAGTGGAATCAGTCTGCCACAAATGTCAGCAAATGGCTGATCATTCAACACTAGCACATGTCGACATACCTCTGACTTGTCAACATCTGTGGGGGTGTGTCCCACTAAATAGGCAGCAGCTTCCATAATGAATCCATCCAGATTGTCTGACAGTGCAACAACATCAATGGCATGGGGATTTCCCACAATTAAGGGTGCCATTCTGGTCACTGCAGTCTTCTTAATGATCACGACACTGGACATGATGAGCTGGGCTAAAGTAACAAAGCTGGGGGATGGACCAAATGCTGCAGACAGCCTGACAGATGTAGTTCTCCACTTGAATAATGGTGCACATGGCAACCTGTTTCATAGCCACAAGTGTGTTAAGTTGGGTGCTGAGCATGACTGGGATGGTCACATAACCATCACTGATCTCTAGCCTAAGTTTGAGACAGTTAGGAGACAGTAATAATTCAGCAACAAGCGAACTTACATGTATTGAAAGGTATCATCTGCCTGTTTGAACACATCAATATTGACCACTTGCACATAGCTGCCAGCAGGAGCTTTTGAAGCAAGAAAGGCTAGTACCCCTGTGCAATGCAATGGACATGGTGGAGAGGGGTTGAGATTGGGTCAATGAATGTGTTGCTGAACAGTGACATTCACAAGGCAGCAGATGCAAATTAGGTAATTGCAATGACATGAGATGACAGCATCAATCACTGTGGACAATGAGGATGCAGTAGAGTTACATTGACCAGTCAAGCTATGTAGGCAGGTACAGTATGACAGAGTTACTCTGGTACCAGGGAAATGTCTAATGTCAATAAAGTAGCATCTTGACTGCCCAATTCATAGAAGTAGACCAGAAATGCCAGTGGTAACATTTTGTTGATGGCAGGAAGCAGCATGGTAACAGGCAAACATGGGCCAACATATTGTTCTAGAAATGCTTCATCAGAACTTTGTTTTGACAAGTGAGATGGATGCCAGCTGCTTGTAGATGGTGTTTGGGGAAAGTTGGATGATCAATTGTGTTGGATGAGAAGATCCCTTGGTCTCATAACTTGTTGAGGTGGGTCTGACATTTCAGGATGTGGAAGGGACATCTCCATTGAGGGAGCTGAAACAAATGCAAGAGGAGGAGTCAAATGACATGTAGTGGTCAAGTAGCAGAGGGTGTTGGGCACAGAGACATCCTCGAGCAGATGCTGGATGAGCAACATACTCTTGTCTGAGCTAGCCATGTTGAGTAGTCATTGCAGATCATCTTCATATTGCTGTGCTGAGTTCCTGCAAGCACTGGGGTCAGGAGATAAAATCGGACTAGGCAGGTGGCTAATGTAAGGTAGTTCAACAGCAGGACTGAATGTCAATGTGGAAGATGTGTCCATACTGGATGTGGATGAGGGGTCAGGATTCAATACACCTTGACAAACAGCAGCCAAATATGCCAGCATTTGCTCACATGTGGGGATGGTGAGAGGAACACTCAGTTGCAGCAACTGGCCAGTTCTGTGATGGTGAATCTGGTGAAAGATCAAGGAATGGCCGTGCAGTGAAGTATTGTGCTCACATAGACATCCATGAACTGGTAAATCAAATCATGCACCACACAGAGAGTGGCTAGATCACCTCCAGAAGCAACCTGACAATTCATTTCATTGATGCCAACGGAGAAGAGGATGTAATGAATGTGTTGAAGGGGAGTTGTCTGCCAATCATTGGATAACGTCTGCTGATCAATACCAGGCCCAAAGACAGCGACACAAGCTGTAAACGTTCAGGATGCATGGTGAGAAAGGGGTTGTGATGAAAGCAAACATAATGCAGCCCTAATCCCCACAAGGCGCATCCAATGCCAAAGCTTGTTGAAACAAGCACCCCATGATTGAATCTTGATCTCAGGCAGGGTAGTACTAACTCAGGACGAAAGGATACTGGATGTAGTTCAGTTTGGCTTAACTGCCTGATCACCTGGGGCAGGAGGGGGGTTTGACGTTGCATATGGAAGAGGGTAAGGAACATTAAGCAAGATGACTTTCTCCTATTTATGAGCTGTTGATGTTGGCACCTTGCAGATGCAATGTGTTGAGGGGCATGTGTGAGAAGTGCCCTAAATAGCCAATCCAAGTGCATGCTCACCAATGACTAAATGTTGGACGAATTTGAATAACAAAGATTTGCCTTTATGTACAGCAATGAAGACAAGCCCTGGTCAAACATTACCCAGAAAGGCGAGTTAACCAAGGTGAGGCAAGGAGCACATGTACAGTGTCAGGGGTCTCACTGACAATGGACCGCCGGGGATGCTGACTGGTGCTGGTGCACCTCTCCTTGCACCTCTGCCACCTCCATCCACTGGAACACATAACATTCATTGTCATTCTTGTTAGAGAAATATGGGTATGTGTGTGGGTGTGTTCACTGATTTGGTGAATGAGATGACATGTGCTGACAAGTTGCTAGATACTGGATAGCGCAGATGTTGCAAGGATCCAGGTGGTAGTCCAACTCATGAAAGAGTACCTGGAGAGATCCAGTCAGTTTTACTGATGATTGAACAACTTATATTTCACTAACAAAATTGGTCAGACAAGAAGATGCCTACTGCTTACCATGCCATAAAGCCATTGGATGTGTGCAGTAAGGTGGAGGCACTCATGGTGAAGGCAACAATGGCTCAAGAAATGTTCACATCAAAACTCTGCAAACTGGTGAAGTGCACACCCAGAGATCTGTCAGGGCACCAGCTCATTGCTTGGTCAAGAGACATGACTAAGCCTTTATGACATGGAAGTAGCTGGTATACCTTGGCATGTGCTGGACCTGCTGGAAGGATTGGATGGTCAGGTGACCTGCTGTGCATGGCTGTGCATGGCTGTGCATGACCTCATATGACCTCATCCTTGGTCATATGACCTGATCACCTGACTAGGCTGAGTAAGCAAGATGTTCTAGCAGGTTCCACCACAGAGATATAAATATAAGGCCTACTTTGCCTGGGG